AGGGTTAAGGACTTCAGGGTTTAGGGATTTGGGGTTTAGGGGGTCCAGGGTTGAGGGCTTTGGGACTTCAGGATTCAGGGTTTTGGGATGCTGTGGGACTTCAGGGTTTAGGGCTTGGGGGTTTGGGATGCTTTAAGGACTTCAGGATTTAGGGTTCACTTCGCAAAGCAACGTTGCTGCAACAGATTACCAGATGAGCACTTTCAACCCGAAGCAACGAGAAACTGCCGTGCACGACACTAAGCTTGGACGTTGCGTTCCTGGTGCAGTTTACTAAGTCGAGGCTGGAGGCCACAAAGAGATGCTGCACAAGCACATCGCTACGGGTATGTCCCCCAAAGGGTCTAAGTACCCATATAGTAGATATTTTGGGCCCCAAAATACCTACCATATAAGTACTTAGACCCTTTGGGTTCCTGCACTTGTGTTGGAATGCCGCGAAGGGTCACGCCCTCCTCCGAATTTCGGGAATGCCATCGCCAGTTGAAGCATCAGCTCATAAACGCTTTTTTGGACAAGGGGAGTTCTCAAATTAGGGTCCGTTTTGTAAGGGTGCCGTACTATATTGGGGACCTAAAAAGGGACCCTAATTTAGAAAACTACCTACATGGGACCTTGTTTTTGTGGTCGAATCTATAGAGGGACAAGCTTTGATTTCCCAAGGCCCGTGCCGACTTCGATGACCCGTGGGACAAGCACCGGTGACTCTACCGAAAGTGCGGCCCATCGCCGGCAACGCGGCTGGAGTTCCTCCAACGGGTGGCAACGAGGTCCCTGCGACTACAACGACCCAAACATCGATCCGATGGACGACCTCACCCAGGAGGAGCACGATGAGGTCGAGCGGATCGAGAAGGAGTGCCGGGAGTTGAGCTAGACTATAAGTTTCTCACTGCCTTGAGAACGGAGGATTCCGTTATCGACTCTTTAGCCCCAACCCTAAACCCGTAAAGCCTAAACCCTATAAACCCTAATTCCTAAATCCTTAACCCTCAATCCTAAACCCCCTAAACCGTAAACCCATAAGCAAAAATGATACCTGAGCCCTAATTTCAAAGTCAGGCAGTGCTAGATGAAGAGCTTCCTCTGCACAGCCGACCTTTGAACCAAGATCTTCCCTCCCCCAGTCCGGGGTTTCGGGTTTCCGGTTTACAGGGTTTAGGGTTGTCTTAGGGTTTGGGGTATGGGTTTTAGGGTTTCCGGTTCGAAGTTTGGGTTTATGGGGGTTAAGGTTTCGGGTAGCATCAACCCAAGAGATGCCCTCGAAGCCTTAGGTGTTCATCCCTTGTGACCCTTGTGGCCGCAGGCCCTGCGAACATGTTGTGGGTCAGGGAAACCATCCAACTTGAGGTTTTCGGTTCAGGAGCTGATGTTCAAATCCCTTACAAATCGCTTCCGGGCTCCGGGTTTGAATTGAGCTCCCTTGCTGCAGCCCTGACGCGACTTCGCCGGGGCGACGCCGACGACGCCAAAGCCCGCCGAATCCTTGGTTTCCAGCACCTCGCGTTTAGGGCCTTGTATAAGGTTTGTTTTAGTACTTGCAGGGTGTACTATAGGGTTTTGGGTTTGGGTGGGTGCGGGAGAGGGGTCGGCACATCTGGTTACCTAGTTTGCTAGACTGAAATCTAAGATTCAGATGTCGCTAAGGGTTTAGTTAGGATCTTGGGTTTGGGTTTGATTCAACTTTCGACATCCAGGTGACCTGGGTAGTTTAGGGTCGCGCTGATCATTCACAAGTTTTTGCCACCCTTTGGATCGAATTCACAAGCAGATGAAGTCTTTGGAGCATGCGATCTGTGCCACACTTGGGTTGTCCCGCTTCCCTGGTTAGTCAATCGGGCAGCACCACGCCCAGACCTTAGACTCCGGCACCTGCAACCCAAACGTTTAAACCCTAACCGCGAAACCCCAAAACACTAAGCCCGAAACCGCTACACCCTCAACTCTGAACCCCTAAGAGCTCCTAAGATCCGATGCAGCTAACCCCCGAGATCGTGAGTCGAAGTCGAGGAGACTGCAAACAATGACGTGTTCATAGACTTTACACAGCTTTCAGGGCTGCTAAGGCTCGCCAAAACCCCGCAAACTCTTCAAACCAGGACTGACACCTCGTAGGCAATATAAGATCTAGGCAAAACATTGCAAAACTATACCTACGAGAGACCTGCCATACACTACTTTCTCAGGGTTCCTATCAATTCTGGAACTAGTTCTCACCGCGAGGTAGCTTATTCATTTTCGTTGCTCATCTTGTAAATCTGTTGTTTGGCCTGTTGGCTGCAGCTTCCTCTTCGGAACATGTTTGGCTTTGAAGTATGCTGCTGATACCATGGATACACCTTTCGCATCCTTTGAAGCCGTAAACTCATCCCACTCAGCGAAGCTTTGGCTTGGGACGATCTTTGTTTGTCTGGAGTTTTACGTAGGAACTAGATAAGGGGGTTCATAGTTTTTGGTGTCGAGAAACCGGCCGGAACAATCGGATCCATATTAACATTGATTAAAGACCCTGAACAAAAGCCGGGGACTTCTTATGCAATCAGGTTCGGGCGGTAACCCGTTGGAGTTTTCCTGTCGTCGTTTGCCAGGCGCATAACTAAGATTGCGTAGACGGTTGGAGGCAAATATGCAATTTATGCCCGATCTACCACACGAAGTTACATGCATTCTCAAAGCCGCAACCAAGGTGAAGCTGCACGGCTTTATAACGTTTGGGTGCGTGAGGCGGGCTACGGTAAACCCGCACACCAAAGTCGAAACTCGGAATTAAACCCTGGATACCCCACCAACTAGGAACATACTTGAAATCATAATATTAAGGCTCCTATAATTTAAGATAGTTTCCTTAACTGTGGGGTATTGGGGTCTTTGTGTAATACTTACACATACATATAGTCTATAACCATCCTGTTGGATACTTGGCCCGAAGCCCTAAACCCAAAGCCGTAAACCGAGGGCCCTCGGGAGGTTCCCCATCTTGAGGATGCCCTCTTGGAGAAAGAAGTATCGCATGGCAGTGGCAGGGTTTAGGGTTTAGGGTTTAGGGTTTAGGGTTTAGGGTTTAGGGTTTAGGGTTTAGGGTTTAGGGAGCTTGATGAACGGAAAGGCTTTAAGAACTCATTTATTATGGCTTTTTCGCCCAAAGATCATGCTAGATACGGCTTTTGGGCGATTTCGGGCCTGAGGGTAGGCAACGACTCAACGTGATTTGGAACGAAAGGCTTCGGAGTTTGGGCAGTTCTTGCTAGTGCGGGCCCTGATTAACGACCACCCCCTACGTACCCTAAAAGAAATTGGAAGATTAGAGTGGGGATCCCAACATTAATCTTAAACCACAAACACTACTAAAGCCCTATAAACCCTAAAGCATAAACCCTGAAACCTCAACCCTGGGGTTACATTTCATGTGATCAGTCTGCTTGGGGCATCATGGCGGTCTGCATTGGCCTCCAAGGACTGCGTGCAGGATTTGCCGACAGTCTCGTGTGCCAGTGACAGCCCACAGGACCTAAGTGGAACGTGGATACCATTAAGATGCAACTTGGTGCATCGTCCATGTGGACCTGGCGGTCGGATGCAGTACCGTCTGACCAGACGCAGATGACGCACCCGCTATATGTCATTCTCAAGGAGGCCCACCGGACCGGCCCGACCACAGAGAAAGCTGAAGTGAGCTCATTTCCGAAGCCAAGACAATGACAGAATCTGGGGATCATGCTTTCGTTTTTATAAGCAATGAACCGTTAAATTAATCAATCAAGGCCTGCTTGGATGACCGAAACTCCCCCTCAACACGAAAACCCTACAACCCTAAATCCTTCGTGGGGCAACCCGAAACCCTTACCCTAAACACGAAACCCCAACAAATCCTAAGCACTAACTTCAAAAACATGTAAAACCCTTAAACCTTAAAGACCCTGAACCCTCATAGAAACCCTCAATTATGGAAGCCTTTGTAGACACCCTTACAAACCCATATCTTATGCCCTTATGGCCTCAAAGCCCGTAAGCCCTTCAAGACACCCTTAAGGCCCCAGATAAGACGAAGCCCTGCAGACCCCAAAACCCTGATGGAGGCTCTTATACCCCCTAAACCCTGAACCCTAAACCCTAAACCCTGAACCCTAAACCCTGAACCCTAAACCCTAAGCCTTATACTCGCCAGGCAGGCGGCCACGTGCGAGGATTGCTTGGCGGTGGGGCGCTGGACGCCAAGGCCGAGTTCAGCTTTTTCTATAAGGGTTTAGGGTCTTTAGGGTTTAGGGCCTTCGGGTGCAAAGTTTTAGGGTTTAGGGTCTTTAGCGTTTAGGGGCTTGGTGCAGAGTTTAGGGTTTCGGGTTTCGGGCTCTAGGGTTTGCGGTAGATGGGTTCAGGGTTTAGGGTTTTAGGGTACGGTGTTTCTGCATGAAAGTTTTTTTGAAGGAGTTTAGGTTTGGGGTTTGGGGTTCAGGGTTTAGGGGATCCGAGTTTGCTTCGTTGACTCCCCCCAGTTTCATGGACATGCCCTCAGTACCCAGTAAGTACTCCGGCACTTGTAGTTGCAGTAGTCGTGAGTACAGGCTAGATTTATGAGCCCTAAACCCTATAAACCCCAAACCCGACTCTCGCTTGCAATGTAGGGGCTCAAATAATTAACAGTATTATTTTGGGAGTTCCTTATTATAGTTGTAGTATATTGGGCCCCAAAACTCTCTCTTCTAATTTTTAAGGCCCCTATTTTATGGTCTTGGGGCATTGGGATTGCAGAGTTTAGGATTCCCCCATAGTAGTGGGTGCTTGGTTTAGGATTCCCCCACAGTTGTGGGTGCTGGGTTTAGGATCTGGAGCTTGTTTCCGTCAGAAACTTGGTGAGGCGCGGAGTGCTAGATAGCCTAAAAGCTCGAGCTCTTAGGGCAAGGTTTCTTCAGTGGCCTGGCTCTCCTATGAGCTCTGTAATTAGGGGCTTAGGCCGTCTAGGCGGCGCTTGCACCCTCGAAACCTTACCCCCCAACCTCTAAGACTCAAAAGACCCAGAGTTTGACGAAAGAAAGCAACGAACCCTCAACGAGCCCTGCCTCTACAAAACATCGATGTGAATCCATAGCACACTTCAGCAGGGAATTTAAGTTCGAGGAGCATGCCCCGTCATCCTCTATAAAGGAACCCTTAAAGCAAGGCCCTTAAACGTAGAGAGCTGCGATCGGCTAGAAGGCCTTTCCTTTCTGTGGCGGAGCGGCCATGTACCTAATATAGTTTCAGAACAAATGAAATAAATGCTTGTAGCTGGATCCCAAAAGTATGTAGACTAATAGCCTCTTTATGGGTGTTGAGCCAGATTGTTACCTACTTTGGGGTGTTCGGGTATTGTGTTCTAGTATTGCCTGATCGTCCTTCGCCTTAGACTTTTACAGATACAGCCGATGCAGCTGGATCAGACTATTCGCCGAAGCGCCGTTCGAAGTCTTCCAGCTTCGATATCTACCCTTAGAATAACCCCTTCAGCAACCAATTGTAGACCCTTTAAAAGGAGGTCAATGGATCTATACCCAGATCCCCGGGAAAATCCACAAAGTAGATCCCTTAAGGGGGGTCCTTTCGAGTACCCTTCAGTAGTTAGGGTCCCAAATTCGGGGATTTATTTCCTAGATCCTCCCGAAATTCAACCCTAAACCCTAAACCCTAAACCCTAAACCCGAAGCCCTAAACCCCAACCGCAACCTTCGATCCGACTTAAACCTCGCAGCCTCCGGTCCCCTGCGCGGCTCTTTGCGGTTTAGGGTTTAGGAGGGTTTAGGGGTTTAGGGGTTTGGGGTTGAGGGATTCAGGGGTTGAGGGGTTTCGGGTTTAGGGTTCGAAGGGTTTTAGGGATTCGGAGGTTTAAGGTTCAAGGTTCACCGTATTCCCTAGCAGGGACCGAGCTTCAAGAGCCTAAGCTCTCACTTCCGCTCGCCTTCTCTCAGAGTGTGGACTCTCAAGCTGTTTGCAGCATGAAACCTCAAAGAACAACTCCCATCGTAACTTAGTCCTCCAATACCCAACCTTTAAACTTGTTTATTTTCCTGGCTTATTGGGGAAGTAAGGTCAAGCCCCCCCTCATCTAACCAAGCTGTGTAGCTAGTCTTCGTATGTAATGCGTGTTCCAGCAAACACTGCTCAGCCAAGCAACAGAGGATGCCCTGGCGGCTTAAATTGGAGTTTTTGGAAATTAGGGTACCTTATTTTGGGGTCCTTATAATGAGGATCCTACTATTTAAGGTACTATATTAGGGTCTCCTATTTGCGGAAACCCCAAATTGGGTAGTGGCATAATTTCGAGGTTATGCTCCCCAAACTCCTCAACCCCAAGCCCATACGAACCTTCACCAATTGTAAACGCAGCATCGCGCTCTGCACCTGACGTGACTTAAGACCTCGAAGCATGCCTGTTCAGAGAGACACTAAACCCTAAACCCTAAACCCTAAACCCTAAACCCTAGGGTTCCCTTTCTGGCTTGGGGTGCACTTCACCCTTTCCCTCCGATGCCGTCGCCGTCGAACAAGATCGACACAGCTCGGCGGCTCGATCGTAATTGTTGGATGGATTGGGGGATACTTATTATAACTATAGTATAATCTACCCCGAAACCCTATCCTAATTATTAATACTAGATTTGGAGTTTCTAAGGCAAAATTAGGGTTCAGAGTTTAGATGTAGAGCGTACTGAAACATACCCAACCCCATCTAAGATCCGCACCTGTTTTCATGTCGGAAACCCTAAACCCGAAACCCGAAAACGGACCACAGCCCTACCTGTGTTGATTTTGTCAGCTTTCCTAAGGCCGAAGAGCCTTAACAGAGCCTAATTCGGGAAAGCCCCACACCTCAAGGTTCTTAAGATCTACCCAAAGGCCCCATAGTAGTTCCTTTTTGGGGTTACCTTATAGGATTCTATATGTGAACCCCAAAAAAGGAACTACTTTAGGGCCTTTGGGTATAGGCCCTAAACACTAAAGCCTTCAGGAGCTTTTGTGGTGGCTCATGATGCTGGTGACTACGCTCTAACTCAAAGACTTGCGAGCTTCGGGTGTAGGGTTGTTTAGGGTCTTGGGGTTCAGGGTTTAGGGGTTTAGGGTGTAGGGGTTGAAGAGGGCTTTGCTATTAGGCTTGACAGCATTTACACTTCTGCGCCCGAAAGTTTAAGACGTGTATGCTTCGGGCCTATCTAGGTACCAGCTGCGAGTATCCCTAAACGTATGCCAGGTGCGCATGTGGGGATACTATGTACGAGCTTGAGCATCAACTATGCCAACTATGGAGTCTTCGAGTCGCTAGTCTACACATATCTTGGTTTGGGCATCGAAGAGGTTCCCGACGTTCCACGAATAACCCGAAGCCCTCGACCCCATCATGATTCTTCGGATTTCCACGTCATCTTGATGCTCCCTAAACCCCAAATCCCTAAACCCTAAACTCTAAACTTTATACGACAAGGTGCCCGAAAGCCCAATTCTGAGTAGGTTCCGACATGAAATGGAAACTCGAAAGCCCCAGGCAGCTGGGGGTCTGCATGGATACACCCGGCTTGGTTTAGGTTTTAGGGTTTAGGCTTTAGGAGTTTAGGGCTTAGGGTTTGGAGGTTTAGGGTTTAGGGGTTCAGNNGGTTCAGAGTTTAGGTTTTAGGGCTTGTTTTGTTTTAGGGGCACAGAGATGCCTGTTAAGCTAGCCTACGGAGTCCCAGGAACCGGCTTGAGGGGAAGCCACACAAGCCATGAAGGTGGCTCCCAGTATAGGAACCCTACTTTCTTACTATGCAAGTCTTTTGGAGCCGTAAACCCGAAAAGCCCTGGTAAACACGTAAAGCCTTAGTTCAATCCGATAACAACCCGATAGTATCACACGCAACCTGAAAGGATGCCTTTCGAGTGAAGCCCGAATTAACTGACCTTAATAATTTAGGGATTTTTTTTTTCGGGGGGGG